CCCCAAAACCCCAAAACCCCAAAACCCCAAAACCCCAGAACATTATTAATTAATTGAGTGGTTATTAATTACTGGTGCTTTGAATGGCACTTTTTGCATGTAATTATCACAGCCAAATCATCGAACAGCACGAGCAATCTGTACAGCTATAGACCTATAATCTTAGAAGTGGATTATTACTCTAAACCAGTCTAGAGATTTATGGAAAATATTACATTTAATTCAAATTGGTCGATTTTATAGGAAAATTCTGGAGATACTCAATCCTTTCATGAAGTTTCTTCCGGTACACTTTCTGGACTCCCTTTAAGCCCTTTGTTTGTGGGAACTGAAGATTAGCAGTAAAATACTTTTTGGTGAATCTGCTTATTTGGAAGATAAGCAGGATTAAATTTAGTAGTTTTCATCAACCTAGCTGTTTTTGGATTATTTTCTTTCAGAATAGAGCTTTCTGTTTGGGGTTGGTAAGTTGAATAACTTGAAATCAATTAAGTTTGGCTTTGAAGACCTTTTCTTCTTTCTCTTTTTGAGGGATGATGGAGCTACAAATGAGTTTAAAATATGTAAAATAATATACTGATGGTATCTAATGGATCAATGTCTCTAAATCTTTCTGTTGGAAGGGCGAGAGGTGCTAGAAGCAAAGATAAATTTGCTAAAGAATTATAAATATTCAATACTTGTTCTCTCTGACACTCTTATTTTAAAGAGTTCTTTGGCTCTGAGATATTATAGACTCTGGGAGTGAGCTTCATGGCACAAATTTCCTGAACTGTTCTCTCTCTTTGAGCCTTCTTTTTCTCAATTATTTTATTTCAAAATCATTTCTCGATTCTTAAAGTGTTCTATCATTGGTGAACAAAAACATACTAAGACTTGGTATTTTGTTCCTATTTGCCCGAGAATCAGGAAATTGACCGTCTGAAGAATCTCCTGGGTCGCTATCTTCGAAACTAAATATAATGAACTTACAATCCCCTGCTGCGACAAGCTCCTTGAGTTTATTTGCGTCAGCATTGATCAACCTTTGGATTCTACTTTCTCTTCTGAAGGCTTGTTCCTAAACATCACATTTACACCTGAAAGACAAGATTGATCAACTCTTAGGTGCCGTAAACCCAAGCCTGTTCTATAGGACTTACATTGAAGGCACTTCCTAAACCCTGGTTTCTCCTCAAAGTATTTCCATAGTTGGCATCATCCTTATAGTTCTTATGAGTAGTCTCTACAAGTTTTAGGAAGCTCATGCTAAAGAAGATCAAATAGACCAGTTACCTTCCAGAACCTCTCTGAGAGAAGCCTTGACGCTTTTTCTTCCCATCCAATCTTGGTTTCTGTCGTAAATTTGAGGGGAGATCTTGCTTCAGGATCACAAAATCCCCCTTGTGAGATTTGGGCTTCCCACAGAAGGATCAACAGCATGATTTCCTCCTGATGAACTTATTTTAACGTAGGTTTATTTGATTTTGTCTAAAATTTGAATTTGTGGCTTACCGATGTAATGCATTAGCAGGACTAGCATGACTTCTGATAAAGGGTTTTCAATATCTATGATGGATAACCAGGAATACCTCCATCAACTTCATCCTCAGCAGGGATTGATGAGAGTATTTTCCCTTCTTTGTCACATTGCATGTAATTATTTTAGTGTTGCAAAGGCTGATTTGGAACGAACTAATTTAAGTGGTCTCTCCTTCTCTGAGTCCTTGCTATCGTAGGAAGATCACAAAGAAGTTGCTTCGGAAATTTTGTTGCTTAGTTTAGTAAAGCCTCTCGATCTCATTACTAAAATGAGTTATATAAGTATTTGACATACTTGAGGTCACCTTTCCGAATAGATTATCTTGAAGGATCCCAAAGCTCCTTGCCTTATCAGTCATGTCTAGGATACTTGGAGGAATCAGCTTGTTTCCTAAGAAATGCCAAGGAGAAGTTAGGATATTGCTAGGTTTTGGTTTATCATAGTTTGTGACCTTTGTTTTCATTTTCCTTATCTCCTCTACTTCTTCGAATGTCATCTTCTTCTATAACTGAGTTAGAAACCAAAACAACATAATTCAAAGATCTCATACCTGTAAGTTTTCTGGTTGAACTCTCTTATTCCCGATGCTACTTGCATGACTTTTCAAGCTGAACTGGTTCCTAGGATCTGAATTCCTCAAATTATAAAGAGTAAGTTCTCTATTAAGTTTTCTTAACGTTATTGATTTATTTTCCTCTACTTTGCTATAAGAACAGTCACATTGCTAAATCTATATCAACTCCCCGTGAGGCCTAGCTTCCGATCTGGCCACCTAAAGTTGCTCTATCTTACCTATAAAGGACGTCTCTTTTCCTCAATGATTTCCTAGAGGGTTAATTTCAGGTTCCTACTTCCTCTCCATTATCGTTTTCAATAATAAAACAAGAAATCGGGGTTTTGGGGTTTTGGGGTTTTGGGGTTTTGGGG